TCAACCCAAGCCTGCTTTCAGCCAAAGACAAGGTTTATTAGAGATTTGCCATATTGGCCAGACTCCTAAGGAATCTGAACATTTGTGATACTTGTATAGACAAGTGGGGTAAATTGAATCTGAGCCATGGGCCAGATTGAATCTCAACCCCTTAATGGAGACAAGATGGATCTTATATACAGAAAGATTGTGGGAGGGATATAGGAGTGGCCAAGTGGTTTGGGATGACTGGAGGAGGGGGTCTAGGGAGGATCTTGATGGGAGTGGCCAGTACGCTGGAGTGACTGGAGGTCGAACCCTAGACCAAGACAATGGAGTCTAGATAGGTTGAGAAGTAGCCAGGGACAAGAGGGAGGTAATAGACAATGAAGGTTGGGCTGGGTCAGAGGTAACAGAATTGGGAGATTGGGCATAAGGATTACTGGGATGATGCCTCAGGTGAACACCAAAGACTTAACAATGTGGGCAAAGGAGAAAACTCAAGGAGGGTTGAGGGGAGGGGTTTGGGTTCCCAGGTCCTGTACCCGGTCAGTTTAGCTGATATAACTGGCATAACACAGAAAGCACAAATGTTTCTACTTGCCATTGATCTGCCTGAGCCTCAATTTCATACACCAGCTTTATGTTACTTGATTGATATTTATAAAGTCCCTCAAAGTGAATTGTAAAAACTATTTCCTTTGTTTACAATCTTTGAATGTGTTGAGTTTAGGTCCTTAGGTTAAGAACAGGTTCTCCCAAACTCCTGGTGTCTAGGTGCTTGAAAGTGTTGTGGTAGTTATTGTTGTTGAGGCCTTTCAGTCAAGTCAGACTCCTTGACCTCATTTGGGGTTATTTTGGCAAAGATAATGGAGTGGTTTGCCCTTTCCTTCTTCATCTTACAGATGAAGAAACTGAGAGGTCAGCAGGGTTAAGTGACTTGCCCAGAGTCACACAACTAGTAAGTGTCTGAGGCCAGATCTGGATTCAGGAAGATGAGACTTCTGATTCCAAGGCAATCACTGCACCACCAAACTACATCCTTTTTGTCTTTTGTTAATATAACTTAGGGAGATACAGATTTTCCCTAAGGCCTTCTTTATCACCCCCCCACCTCTCAAATTTTAGCATATTGTCTCATTTTCTTTTCTTTTCTTTTTTTTTTTTTTGCTTTTTTGGTGAGTCATTCAGGGTTAAGTGACTTGCCCAGGGTCACACAGCTAGTGTCAAATGTCTGAGGCTGGACTTGAACTCAAGTTTTCTTGACTCTAAGGCAGGAGCTCTATCTACTGTGCCAACTAACTTCATTTTCATTTTTTATTACAATGATTTATTTCTCTAAATTGTCTTGTGATCTTCCCATTATTGATGCCTTAGTCATTTGTTCGCATTTCTATTGTGACGTTTTTTATTTCCTTTATTGTTTGAAAAATATATATTTCAATTTATGCCTTTTTTCATTTATGAGTTCTTCATGTTCTAGTACGTGGTCCATTTTTATAAATGCATCGTACTATACTAAAAAACAAGTGTAATCTTAATTTATTTGGTAATCACCAAATATATTTCATATCTATTTTTGATTATTTTATTCAGATCCTTAACTTCTTTCCCAATTATCTTTCATAATATTTGTCTAAGTCTGAAACACCTATTAAGATCCTCAACAAATATTGTCTTACTGTCTAGATCTCCCAGTAATTTAATTAGCTTTAACTTTAAGTACTTATTTTGCCATTTAATGTGTGTATAGGGTATATATACACATTTATATATGTACATATATTTAGTATATGTGGACATATTTATATGTGAATATGTATACACCATTAATTATATGCATTAGTTAATTTTAGTATTTTTTTCATTATATGTGGCATCATTAACTTTTATCTTTTCTGAAATAAAGATTGTTTTGCTTGCTTTACTGAACCTTGGAAGTTGCATTATTGGGTGTATTATATGTGGCATTTCTCTTTGGTTTTGACCTATAGATTTTAGAATATACATCTTGACCTCTGATTCCAGTAATTCTGGATATTTTTCTTTTATGTTTCTTGAATTATAGTAGTGAGATATTTGTTGTCATTTTGTTGCATTATGTTCTTCTTGGAGTCAATTGATTCTTTGATTCTTTTCTCTTGCTATGTCCTTATTTTACTGTAAGTTATTTTAATGGTACATATATTAAATGATCTAGTTTCCTGGTTTTTTGACTTGGCTTCAATATTTCTTTTTTTGTCATTGGGATTATTCACAATCAGAAACTTCTTTCCCAAACTATGATGAAATCTGTGACAATTAGTGAGGATCTTGTCTGTCTCTCTTGCAATTAGTTTCAAACTCTTCACTCAGTAGCCCCTTTAGCTACCAATCATAAGAAGCATCCAGCTCAGGACTAGAGTTGGAGTCGTAACTGGAGGGACAAGCAGAATGTTGTGTTAATAGGTTTTTGTTATTGTTGTTGTTGTTGTTTTAATCTGATGGAGATCTTTTGCCTGAAAATGCTTGTTCTTTTACTATATTTGGTGAATTTCTTACGGGTTTTGAAATGGAAGTAGAGAGAACTAGATTTGACCAGAACCTTTCACTTTGCCACTTTCCTAAAGACTATTAGCTATGTAATTGCAGCAATTTAAAACCAGCATAAGATGATTATACCATATAAATATATTCATTCTGTTATTAACTTGTTAGAAATACACTTAATATTTTAGTATGCACAAGTTGTGATTGTTATAGTGCACATTAAAATGGATGACAAGGGCACTTAGCATGATCTTTTGAATTAGTTTCAGTGGGATGCTTCCATTTTAAACTTTCTTTTGCTTTTTAAATGTCGGTGTAAAATTCCCAGAGGTTAAGCTAAGATAAAAAAACAGGTAATCAGCTCTTTATGTATTCATAATATTCATCACTTTTAGGCAGTTCTAGTCATTTAGTCGTTTTATTTTTTTTTAAAATCTGTTCACTATAGGAAATAAATACTGTACTTACTAAAAATGAAAAATTTAAACTGTATTATTTCTTAAGAAATTGTATTTTAAGAGATCAAAAAGGAATTCAATATTTGAGCTTTTAATGCTATCCCTTATAGTATGCCCAGTAAACAGAAAGATATAATTGGGAAATAGTTATAATTGAATTAACTAGTCCTTTCTTCACCATTGCCTGGTGGTATAAGAAAAGGGGATGTAAAGATGAGTGGCTCCATCTTTATTATGTTCAATTTGTCTTGGCTATTGCATCATCATAATTTTATGTAGACAGAGAACCTTATGTGGCCAGATGCAGGCACTGCAATGGTAGTTGAGTACATATGTATAGCTCCTAGTCAGCTAGGTCATGCAGTGGACAATGCTGGGTCTGGAGTGAGGAAGATCTAGGTTCAAATCCAATGTCAGGGACTTTCTGGCTTATGTGACCCTAGGTAAGTTATTTAACCTCTGTTTGCCTCACTCTTCTGAACTGTAAAATGGGGATAATAACTGTACCTGCCTCACATGGTTATTGTGAAGAACCCAGGAGATAATATTTGTGAAGTGCCTGGTACATAATAGGTGCTTTACAGATATGCATTCCCTTTCCTCCCTTCTATATGTCAAAGACAGAAGACCAATGAAAGTAAAACCCATGGTCCTATAATGCAGGACAGAACAGGGAACTGTTAGAACTTAAGTTGAACTTGAGAATTTCTCAGTCTGTAGGTGATATACTTGAGAGGAAGAATATGTGAGAAGTGAATTTGAGAGGATCATGGCTAGAAAATATAAAACTATCAAAATGTACAGGTTTTGAGGAATGTTGCTTGACCACATCAAAAGCACTCAAGGGAATAATCATATATTTTTAAACTGGAAGGGGAGTCCAATTCTCTCATTTTTCAGAATTAAAAAAAAATTGAGGCTCAGATAGATTAAGTACCTCATTCAAGGTTGATAATTCAATGAAGAAAACACTTATTAAGCACTTCCTATATGCCAGCAACTGTGTTAGACAATTAAAAAAGACAAACCTTACTCTCAAGGATTCTTACATTCTATTAGGGAAGGCACACAAATAAGTCCATATAGAGTACATATAAAACAAATACAATAAAAATAAAATTCAAGGAGGCAGGGGCCTTGTGAAAAATCTGGTGCTCATGCCAAATCTTAGGGAAAGTGAAGATTTCTGTGTTCTGAGGCTAGTTAGTTATGCTTTCAGGTTTCCTGAATCCCAGACTGTTCTTCCCATTGCATCATGTTGCCTCCTCCTATTTCTGTACTTCAGTGTCTCTGTTATTTCAGTGGTATACATATTTCTTCCAAGGGGACAGATAAAAACCTATTTATGCCATCCTATCCAGTGTATCTCTTATCCATATTCTTCTATAAATGCTCCATAAGTATCTACCCAATGATCTAGCTGCCTTCCTTCAAATTTCTCAATATCAGGTATTGAATGGATATAAATATAGCATGTCAACTAGTTATCCTTCACTTTTACTGTGACTAATGTTCCAGTCATAAATCTCAATCAGTCAGCAAACATTTGTTAAGTGCCTTGTATGAGCCAGATATTATGCTAAGCACTGAGGATACAAAGAAATGTGCAAGACCCTGTCTCTGCTCTTAAGGAGTTTGTAACGTCTCTCAAATTATATCATTGACATTGTTATAATATTCCTTATGCCTCTTCATAATAGGGTAATCTTATTTATCCACCTGTTGACTTCTGTTGACTTCTGCCAACAATGCAATCCAATAAACATTTATTAGTGCTTCCTGTGTGCCAGGAACTGTGCTAAGCAGTAGGGATCAATTAAAAAAAAAAAAGAGATAGTCCCTCCCCTAAAAGAGCTTATGGGTGGTGGGAGGCAACAAAGAACCAGGAAGTGGGGGGGATGGGGCACCAGGGGGTACCTGATTCAAGGGCATCATGTTTGATGGAATTGAAACCAGGCAGAGCAACATATGCCAAGTGGACATACAACCATCAAAAAATGAGTATACTGATAATGCTTAACTTTTTTATCCTAGGAGCTGCAGAGAAGAGTTCCAAGCATGGTGCTGAAGATAAGACTCAGACAATCATTACAGCCATGAAGGAACGGATGAAAATAAGAGAGAGAAATAGACCAGAGGTATTTGAAGTGATTCAGGAAATGTTCCAAGTTTCCAAAGAAGACTTTGTACAATATACAAAGGCTGCCAAACAGAGTGTGTTGGATGGGACATCTAAGTGGTCAGCAAAAATAACCATCACAGGTAAGACAATCCAATAAAATATATCTCATTTTGAATTTGAATTTGGGAAGTCTAAAGTCAAATCCTGTTTCAAAAACTTACTAGATGTGTGACTTAACCTCTGTCAGCCTCAGTTTTTCTTATCTATAAAACAGATGTGATAAAAACACATCTTTTAGCTTGAGATCCAAATGAGATAATATATGTAAAGCATTTTGCAAGCTTTATAAATGCTATATAAATTTTAGTTCATTATTATTACTATTTCATAATGAGATTTTTATCCCAAACCTTGGAAATTATAATAAAAAGCAAATAGATTATGGTAGAAAAAAATTATAGCAAACTAAATAACAAAAAATTATAGCAAATAACTAATAACAATAAAGATGACAAGAATAAGGGAGGAAAATTTTGCTCTCCCTTGGTTAGAGAATATCTGGAGTATTGTGATCACTTCTGGGTACTATGTTAGAGAAAGGATATTTACAAGTTAGTGACTGACAGTGTCAGAAGAGAGAAGGAGCCATGTTGGAGAGATATTGCAAAGGTAAAATTGACAGGCCTTGGCAACAGGTGGGATGTGGAGGTGAGAGATAGTGAGGAATCCAGGAAACTCTAGGGTTGTGAGCCTGAGATACTTAAAGGATTGCTGTTGCCCTCTACTATAATAGGAAAGGTAGGAAGTGGTGGGGTTTGAGGGGAAAGATGACGAGTTCTGACATTTTGTGATTCTGAAATGCAATGGTCTTAAAATTAAAACCTAAAATATGTGTGGTTATCACAATACATCAAATAGCTTTCTGTTGGTTGTTATCAAATGCCATTATCAACTTCCAACACCAACCATACATAAAAAAAGAAAGTATTTCTTCTAGCCTAAAGATATTCTGTTTTCAAGTTGAGACTATTTACTTTATTTTCCTTTTTTATCTACTCTGAATACCAAACAAATTGTAAAAGATACCACTTTTTTGTGTGTGTGCCATTGCTTAATTGTAAAAATAACTGACATTTTCCATGGGTTTCCTAATAAAACAAAGATCACCTCCAATTAGCACTTGAAAATAGAAGTTCAAGGTTCTCTATCTGTTTTTACTTCTTGAGTCTAATATTTAGAATCTTCTGTGTCACGAAGAACAACTGGTATTGCATCTTGAAAACTCTATTCTAGGATCTTGAGTCACCTGTGTTGACTTTACATGGTGAAAAATAACATGCAGATTATGTTCTTACCTGGTTAATTTGATCAAAGGCAGCAAAATCATCTAATTCATAGATATAGGAGGATCATAGGAGTTAGGGCCAGAAAGAGATTTTAGTGACCACTGGATCTCTCATTTTACATATAATAAAAATTGGCCCAGAGAAATTAAATTATTTGCAATGTCACATAGGTAGGTACAGAGTGGGAGGTTGAATGCAGATCCTTTGATCTGCACTGTGCAGTTGAATGCACTGTCCACCAACGAATTCACTTTAATTCATTACCTTATTAATACAATCTTAAATGGATCTGTTATCTCATCAGTCATGTTCCCTGCAATGATAGACTGATCCATTCCTGATCATTTTGTAGTTACTTTTATCCACATCTTCACATCGTTTTGTTCAAGGAGTCCACCCAAAGTCCTGGGGAAGTACTTTGTTCCATTTTCCTGATACAAGGATGCAAATGGAGCATGTTTGCTGGTCTTTAAACATCCCATCATTTTTTATCATTGTAGTGGTTTTTTAATGATATCTTTTACTCTAGTTCTTTGTAATTCTTTATTTGCTATGTATGGGCAGCTAAGTGGCACAGTGAATAGAGCACTGAGTTTGGAATCAGAAAGACTCATTTTCATTTTAAGTTTAAAAATGGCCTCAGACACTAGTTATGTGACCTTGTGCAAGTCACTTAACCCTGTTTGCCTCAGTTTCCTCATGTGTAAAATGATCTGGAGAAGGAAATGGCAAATCAGTCCAGTAGCTTTGCCAAGAAAACCCTAAATAGGGTGACAAAGAGCTGGGCACAGCTAAAAAACAACTCCACATTTGTTAAGTATTATGGCCTGCTAATATCCACCACTTACCTTTAAATTGCCTTCTGAGTGATTCTCAGGTTTGATTTTTTTTTAGATTAATTTATTTTTAGTTTTCAACAATCACTTCCATAATCTTTTGAATTTTTAAATTTTTCTCCCCCTCCCTCCCCAAACCCTTCCCCAAATGGCATGCAATCTGATGTAGGCTCTACATATACATTCCTATTAAACATATCACACATTAGTCATGTTGTAAGGAAGAATTAGAACTAATAGGAGGAACCACAAAAAAGAGGAAACAAAACAAAACAGAAGAAACAAAAGAGCAAATACTATGCTTCAATCTGCATTCCAACTCCATAGTTCTTTCTCTGGATGTGGATAGCATTTTCCATCATGAGACTTTTGGAGATGTCTTAGGGCAGGTTTAATTTTTTTAGAGAGACTAGTGGTCCATAACTTTGTTGATATGACAAATATTGATATGACAAAGTTGGATCTTAATTTTCTGAAAGCAGTTTAGGGGCATTAATGGAAATTTGCAATTTCCCAAAGTCAATCCAATCCTCTGTCCTCCTCCTGTTTAATTCTAGGTCCCAACTTATTGTCCATTTGTACTGTTGGTGCAAGATATATGCACCAATGGATGATTCTCATAGGTCAGACTGTTTAACACTATGCCATGATCTGGGCAATAGAAATTCTTCATCCTCATGATAGTTTTCATTTGCAGATGGTTAGACCAAAAATCTTTTGAGTGTTTACAATTCTTATGCAGGAGGCTCTGCCAGATTCTCAGACTTGGTGTATCAAGCACACTGTCACCCATGTATAGGAGCATTGGGAGGGATCCACAGCTATAGAAAAACTCTTTTCAGCATGGATTCTATATGGGGTAAATACTGTAACAATGGCAGATACTATTAGAGAAATACAGCTCTTCTTTTTGAATGCCTCTCCTTATATTGTCTTCAATGTTACTTCTGTTTTTGTGTCTTACAAAGACTCTTATGTAAGTTTGATATATTTTGACATGTTGTTAAGAGACAGCCTTTAATGTACTTCTCCAAAGATAATGCCATTTTTATATCACCAACACACAATAAGCTCAGTGGAATCTTATATTCTCTATATCTTTCTGTCTATTGCGTAATGTCAAAGATAGGATCTACTGTGCCAGGGGAGCTTGGGTGGTGCAGTGAATAGAGAGCACTGGGCTTGGAATCAGAAAGACATCCTTCTTTATGAGTTCAAATCTAGCCTCAGACACTTATTAGCTGTATGAATCTGGACAAGTCACTTACCCCTATTTGCCTCAGTTCCTCATCTATAGAATGAACTGGAGAAGGAAATGGCAAACCACTCCAGTATCTTTGCCAAGAAAACCCCAGATGGGGTCATGAAGAGTCAGACATAACTGAAACGACTGAATGACAACAACAAATGAGCTATTGTGAAAAATCATCTTGTTAATACGCATTTTTTGGTATCAGGAGCTTATTGCAATACCTGAAGATGACATTGTTTTAATTGCTTGCCACATTTTCTCTCATTTTTATTCTTTTCTTTGTACCAATTTTTATTTTTGAGCCACCAAGTCAGTGGTCTGACTGTACACAGTTGATTCTGGAATGATTCCTGTATCATAATGAGTCATTTCCTCTCTACTAAAATACAATTAGTTTCATTTTTGGTGATTTTATTCAATACTCTCTGGGTGTCCTGTACCTTCCAACTCTCCTCTTGATGGGAGCATTTATCATGTACCCTATAGCCACAAGGCATATTGTAGTCTACAAATCGTTGGCCTCTCTCATTCCTATTACTGATTCATATTTTCTGCTTGTTTTACAAATTCCTTATTTTTCTTCTTTATGTAGAAGTCACTGAGTATAAAGGATTTTATAAAGTTCTTAGAAGTTGTTTTTTTTTAATCTCTTAATCTGCAACACATGACATTATGAAAGCAGCACTTATTTTCATGGTAGTCTTTTTTGCAAGTACTTAACATTGTGATAGATCAGAAGTCCTGTAGAACATTTCTTGTTACCACTAGGCACAGGGCCAAACCATCCCTGCCAATTCCTCTATTGGCTTCTTCAAGGAAAATCCACCAGCAATCCTTCCACTTTGCTGCAATGTATTCTGATTTTGCTTATAGATTAGCAAGATTAATAAGATTTAGCCTATTAAAAAAGTGACAGAGGGAGTCCTTGGAGATTATGTTAAAGAATTTTTCTATACATATATCTATAGAGGTAGAGATGACATAAGCATGTATAGGTTATGCACAACAAAAGGTTAATATCAAGTCTTGTCAGAGGGGCTTCAGTGTAAATGAAAATATCCACAGCCATATATCTGAGATATGCATGAACCTTTGAGTTCATAAGTTTGTCTTGACTGAGTAAACTAAACTGGCTCGAGGGAAAGGAGGTTATTGTATTATGGTATATTCTGAATATTAAACAGCCCCTTTGGGTTAATGTTATTATATATTAACCTATTGATAATTAGTTATAATAATACACATATTATTGAAAATTTCATTGAACTAATAACAATTGGAACAAAGTTAGAACCTGGAGATAACTTTTGCTTCTTTTATACATGTGAGGAAAAAAAAAACCCCACCGATTTCTTATTTAAAATACTGCTCTATAAATTTCTTCTTTTTGGGGGATGGGGGGGCTAGGCAATGGGGTTAAGTGACTTGCCCAGAGTCACATGGCTGGTAAGTGTTATGTGTGTGAGGCTGGATTTGAACTCAGGTCCTCCTCAATCCAGGTACAAATATCTTGAATTAGGTTTAGTTTACTGTTTATTATTGCCATCACATTGGAAGGAGTAGAAAGGCATACATTTTCATAGAAAACAATGATAATAGTAATGATAATGTTAATTATTATTATCATTATCTCTATTATAATAATATCTAATCTTTATATAGCAATTTCAGTTTTGCAAAGTGCTTTGCATATATTATATATATAGACCTCATAAAGAACCTGTGAAATAGTAACTACAGGTAATAAAACCCTTAAAATTATGCTTGATGGAAAGATTAAAAATATTTAGGTGACAAGGCCTGGGTTAATGAGGACTTCATGGATGTTATGTTGATCTTGAGTATCTGTTAGTGCTTCATTAGTAGCAGGTAACTAGAACTAACTTTTCCTCCTTACCAAGGGTATAAGTTATAAATGAACTTTATTAACCATCTAAAATTTACTCCTAAATCTAATTAAAAATAGACAACTGTTCTTAAGTGCCATTCCTTCCTAAAAAGGAAGAATTATAAATAGTTTTAAATTTGCAGCAAAATTAGAAATTTTCCCATTATTTTTTATGCCAAAGGTAAATATATGTATATGTATGTATATATACAGATATGAAAACATATACATAATATCTTTTGTATATACATATACATATACATACATGTGGACATATGGATATGTGTTTATTATATATGTTTTCATGTCTGTATATATACACATACATACACACATGAAACCAAATATACTAAGATTAGTATATATGCATTTATGTTTATTTTTATACATATAAAGAAACACACACACTAAATATATGTTCATGTGTATATGCACATACACATATGCACATTTGGCTAAAAAGTTAAATTTATATTTATATGTGTATATGTATATGTAGATTCACATATGTTATATATGTATGTTTTCTTGTGTGAACATATACACATTTACTTTGGTTCAAAAATAAGATAAATATGTGTGTGTGCGCATGTATCTACATTTCTCATAGTTGTGTTCCTTCTCATCACTTACTCTTTCCCAGTTTGTGGGAAAGAGATAAGCTGGGAAGGAAAGAGTGATGATAGGAATATAACTATGAGTAACATTTAAGTCTTGACAATCATGGGAGGAGCCCATGTGGTATAAGGGAAAGAATATTTGAGTTTGGAGTCACACCTTGTGGGTTCACCTCCTGGCTATGACATTTACGACCTATAGTAGAACTTGGGCAAGTCTCTTAATCTCTTTGGAATTCTAATCAATGTCATTACTAGTGGTGCCTTAAAATACTGGTTGGTGAAACTTCTCTCCTACCTCTTGGCAGAAAGGTAGTGGATTCTAGATCTAGAATAAAGCATACAATTCCAGATATGGCTGATGTCTTGATTTTTGGTGGGTAACTAGGTGGCACAGTGGATAGAGTCAGGAAGACTCTTCTTCTTTAGTTCAAATCTGCCCTCAGATACTTATTAGCTGTGTAACTCTGGGCAAGTCACTTAACTCTAATTGCCTCAGTTTTCTTATCTATAAAATGATCTGGAGAAGGAAATGGCAAACCACTCCAGTATCTCTGAGAGGAAAACCCCAAATAGGCGCATGAAGAGTTAGACATGACTGAAAATGACTGAGCACATTGCTTGTTTGAGTATATACTTATTTATTAGGAAAGATTTTTTTTTTTGGGGGGGAAGAATGATCATTGAGAAGGGACAGAATTGGTAATTAAAAAAAATACCAACATATATTAAAAAAAAACAAACCCTCTAGACCGCAGGTTTCTCATTTGTAAACAACAACAACAACTAAGAGAAAGTAGGACTGCATGGCCTCTATCCTAGGTCTAAATCTATGACACTGTAGACATGGCAAGGATTGAATACATCTTCAGATGCAAAGACCAAAAATAGTAACATACATCATAAATAGTATTTCAATCATTGCCATTTATTTCCCAAAGACTACACTGTGCACATTAATTCAGCTGAATTTTAAAATATTGAAACAAAGCTATGCACAGATCACAGTATCAGGAATAGGAGATATGAATATTAAATTTTATAGCTTATTATTAATTAAAAGAATTTGACACCTGCATAGATAACTTTGAATGCAAGATAGTATCTGAAAAGTTTGTGAGACAGATGAAAACTAAATGCTTTGTAAGATCCAGGCAGTAAAAGGTCATTACTGACATAGATTGAGAGGAGGACAATGTGGAATCAGGGAAATTTTCATGGAAGAAATGTAATTTGAATTAAACTTTTAAATATAGGAATTAATAGTTGAAGAGGAGGAGAGAGAACATAGAAGCTATTGAATTTAGATCTGAATGAGACCTTAGAGATGATCTAATCCAGTCCCTTCATTCTGTAGGGGAAAAAATTGGCCTTGGGAAGTAAAGTGACTGGCATTAGGTCATAGAAATATTAAATATCAGAGAAACAGAATTTCAATCTAATTCTGTCTCAAATCCAGTGTTCTTTGCAGTATTTGGCCATGGCCATGGGCATAGAGAATAGCATGTGCAAATTCTGGAGGAAGAAAAGTACAAGTTGTGTTTAGGAGACAATAAATAACCTCACATAACTCTGACATAGAATACATGCAGGGAAATAGGAGATAAATATGGTTACAAGTGACCACATTGAGTTGTGTAGGACTGGCAAAGGAGTTTGAATTTGGGTTATGAGATTGGGTATCAGTGAATAATTTTAAGTTGAGTGATATGATTAGATCTGTACTTAAATAAAATCAGTTTGAGAGGATTGTAAAGGAAAAATTGGAATGGAAAGAAAGAGTAGAACAGAAGAGTAATTGGGAGTTTATTCAGCACATTCAGTAGGTAATAAGGGCTTGGATTGTAGTGGTAATAGTGGAAAAAGAGGAACAGACAGTAAGACACACAAAGGAGTATTTGGTAAACCACCTGGATGTGAGAGGTGAGGGATAGGGAAAAGTCAAGAACAATGTTGTTTCCAACATAAGAGACTAAGTGAATAGTGGGACAAAAATAGTAAAGCCAGAAAGAGAAATGAGTTTAGGGAACTTGCAGCGTTTGAAGAACCAGTGGAACATCCTTTAGATAGATGAAGCAATGCAGTGTTCTAGGGTAAGCAACATTACTTAGAAATAAAATAAAGAAATATAATGGGGTAACTAAATCTAGTTAAATACCCATTTTTACAAAACTTCATGTGCCTATACTCTTCTCTTCTACCAATGATTGGGATACAAGATGTTGTCATAATCTTATGAATTTCTTAACAGTAAAAGCCCTTTCTTTTGGTTTTATTTCAGTGGTTTCTGCCCAAGGCTTACAGGCTAAGGACAAAACAGGATCAAGTGATCCATATGTTACAGTTCAAGTTGGAAAGAACAAGAGAAGAACCAAAACTATTTTTGGAAACTTAAATCCAGTCTGGGATGAAAAGTTTTATTTGTGAGTATGCAGTATATAGCAAAATGATTTTGGAGCGCACAAATAAAGCAAATACACAAGAAAAAAATTCATTTTTCTTTCAGAAAGTACTTAGTAAAATTAGTAATAGGAATATATTTTGTTGTTCTCCTGACATAAAATTGTTAGTCATGATAAGCAAAGAATTTCTTTAAACAGTGTGATATGATAATGGAAACATTTTATAAGGAAGCTAAGGAAATTATGTGGCCCAAAATTTGGATGACCCTGCAAGGTATGTAAATCAATTGGACCAAAGTAAAATAATTAAATAAATTGATATATACAATGAACCTTAAAAAATTTTAATATCTGATATTTCCTTCTTTTGCTACAATTACATGCTTTACATATGGCATTGAGTTTACAAGATTTTGACAAATATCATTTAATTCTTCATGAAACCACATATCACATTGGTTGTTTTGCATATTTCTGAACTGTCCATATTTCTATATCTAGCCTATATCTGTATAGCCTATCAGTGCTCCTAGGGCATTGGAAAGTGTTTTTCTTCAGCCCTTAGCTAAGATTCCTTACCTTTTTGTGGCATGTTGCAGTGCTATGCTGTAGAATCTAGCAGTCATCTGAGAGTTAGAACATGGTGCTGGTGCTATTGAGTCTTTGATTCTCACCGATTATTCTCAATTTTCTAATTTTTACTCATATTCCTGGCTAAGAAAACATGTCAAGTTTTTATACTTGGGCAGAGAGGAAAGCACAGAAAATCTGGTAATTGAAAGAGGGAACTGATTATAGAGGAAGAGGGAGGGAGGGAGACACACAGAGAGAGAGAGAGAGAGAGAGAGAGAGAGAGAGAGAGAGAGAGAGAGAGAGAGAGAGAGAGAGGGAGAGAACGAGAACTGCACTTGTCCCCAGTGGCAGCACCTTGAACAAGGTTTAACCCTTTTCCTCCCTCTCTGTTTTCACTCTCATTGTTATTACTTTAGAACACTTTACCTCCCCTCCTTCCTTCCATAAAATTACCAGAACCCATTGTGATCCAGAGATAGGAGCTACATCAATACTTAAATTAGAGTTCATTATCATTAATCAGAGTTCATCATCCCCTTGGTAGCATCAAGACTTCTACAACTACAGGAAGTTAAAAAAAAGTCCTCCAAACATTTTAGGGGTGAATGTTTAACAATCTGATAAAAAGGTGCAGATCTTAAAGACTTCTTTTGACAGTGGTTTGTGGTATGGTCTTGAATTTAAAAAGTGATTTTCATCGGTTTTTTAGTACTCCAGTCCTTAACAACTACCCCATGACAACCATTTTTTTTCTTCCTCATAGAAATTATTATTAGTTTGCTTTTTTCCCCCTGATTCTCATTGTTTTTCAAACTTCAAGAAGCATATGACCCAGCTGCTAGGATCCTCTGAATGACTTTGTTTGCTTTATTAAGCTTAATTTATAAGCTTAATTTATTAAGCTTAATAATAAGCTGCTTAATTTTTTGCAATATTTTGTCAGTTTTTGGTGTTGGTTTCTCACTTCCTTTGTGTTTTGATGTGACTGATCCATTTCATTGTGGTCTTGAATGTTCCTTGAAACATTTGGCTTCTGTCCCCCAACATTTCCTGCAATATCTCTAACAACTGAAATGGCTTTTTAAAAGCTATAATCTTTTCACTTTTCCTTGGACTAATATCCATTCTTAAAAACCACAGAATTAAAAACACAGTTTAAAAAAAAAAGAGCAGCATAATGTGTTTATGGGAAACAATCTAGCACTCCACTGACAGAGAAGTACATAAAGGTGAGGAAATTGGATAAATCTGGTTTATCTGGTCAAAGTCAGAGCTAGTGATTCAGCTTAGAATCATCAGAGGATCTTCCTCTTCCCCTTCCCCTCCCTCCCTCCCTCCCCCCCTCCCCTGCCCCTCTCCCCCCCTTCTTTCTTCCCCTCTCCTTCTCCTCCTTCCTCTCCTTTACCCTCTCCTTCTTCTTCTCCCTTCTCCCTCTCCCTTTCCCACTCCCACATTGGAAGTATACCACTGTAAAACATTTGCATAAAAATGATGGATACAGAAGAATTTGTGCCTAAAGAAAATGAAAGGTACCTCAGGATGTCAGCTAGTTCATTACTTCAGGCTGAACCACACTTGCACCAGCATAGACTGAGGAGGTGTCTAGAATGTTTTTAACCATTTACGAGAAGAGATTGTTTAGTTTCTCTGTAACCTATGAAATTTGTAGCAGCTTTTTGTTAGGGAATTCTTTCTTAAATATGACTCATCTTGTAATGTTCCTATAGCCAGCAGCTGGAATAATTTTTCTCAAGTGCCCTTTACCTTGCTCCTTTGCTCAAAAGAGTATAAAATGACTGTCAGTAACATATTAGGAAAGCAAAAATAAAAATGTTCATCATAGATTTCAGACTCTGCCTTTTCTAACAGAAAACTGTTTCTCCCTTTTCTAGACTCATTAGACATGGTCTGTAGCCTTCACATGTGCCTAGATGACCTGTTTACTATCTCCTGCATATATCTCACTTTCTCTTTCCTGTACACTTACCCCCAGAGATTACTCTTGTCTCTTTCATGAAGCTTCCCATGACTACCATTATAGTCATTGCAACTGTCCTTTAGCATTCATGGATGCTACACATATTTTTCTTTCATGATTCTCAGTTGTTTTTTTGATCTTATCTTTTTGCTATACATTTCCAAAAACCTTTTGTTTGTTTGTTTTGTTGCTTCCATGAGTAGTTGAAGGGTGTGTATTGTCTCCTGCTACCTTTTTTTTTCTGTCAAGTAAATATTGTTGACTCTAGTGGCTCTATTGACAATTCTTTGTGACTCACAGAACTTTGCCTGTATTGCACGTGATGATAAAGTACTAAATACCCAGGAAAAATGGCCCTTCATCTTCCAACACCTGGAAGCTTCATTTTGAAAGTATGCACCTATGTTGAAGTAGCATAGTCTGAATGGGGCTCCCCTTGCATGTGTAGATGTATAATGAACATTTGTCCTGTTGAGGTTGGGCCTACCCTCTGATAAGGAATGGTGTAGAAGAACGGTGAAAATCTAATATGGATGAAAAAAGCCCATACCTGATCTTCTTTATCCAAACTCCCACAATTAAGACTGAACTCAGTTTTACTACATGGGATTAGGCAAAACCAGAGCTATAATTTGGCAGAACAACAAGGGTCATTTTTCCTAGTGCCTGATATCTGGGAGGATGCTTTCTGTCCCTCCTTCTCCTGCCACACTCCTTCTCATTCCTTATGCTTCCCCTAGGCTACAGAATTGCTTTTTACAGATCTACACTAGACTAGGTATGGGAAAGGCACAGGTGAGGCAATACTAGAATTCACTAAATTAATTCCACTCTGGTGAGTTGGAAAGAATGTTATAAATCACTCCTTTGAATTAAATAGGAAAATAAAATTAAATAAGATTGCCAAAGCATCTGAGTTAGAAAATGGAAGAGTTTTTAATTTAGTCCAAAATCTTGGCTTCAACACTTAATCCCATCCTCATCCTTCAGATGGATTTCACTGGAATAAATATTGAAAATATGAATAATTTGCATTTGTATATCTTGGTTGAGATGGATGCCACTGTGTTTAGGTTCATTTTTAATAAAGCATTCAAAATTATATTGACATTAACAATGTACCCATTTCCTGCACATTTCAGTGGCATTCTTTATATAGTTCAATGAAGCAGCAGGAATTCCAATTTGAATCAGTGGCACCCTGTCAACCATATAGAATCCTGTAGATAAAACAGATATGCAAGAAAAAAAAGTCTGTGGTATAAAATGCTAACGTATCAGTTGATTTTCTTTATGGAAATCATCCAGAGAGTTATTAAAATCATACACTTATTTTTGTAATTTATATTTTCATTTTGTTTTTTATTATGACCAATGACTCTGAGTTGTAAGAAAAGTTTGAGGGAGAATTACTTCACTGATTCCTCTAGCAACATGAAGTGATTGAAGAGAGTCCATGAAGAGAGTGATAAACTTAAAGCCAAGAAAACCTGAGTTCAAGATCATACCTGTAACTCTTACAACCCTGGACAAAACATTTAGCAACCTGTGCATTTAACTGCTTAGGACTTATTATTAAGTCAGAGCCAATCTGAAGTTAACACAGTGAGTTTATATGTCAGGATTTCACCTCTAAATAAGTCATACATCCTTTGCATATTCCCATCTTTCTCTGGCTGGTATATTTCCAATCGATGCCATTATTATCTCTTAACTCAGTTAACTTTTGTCAGATCTTTTTGTGAATTCTAGGTCTTTGCCCTGATCACAGAAGTTTTAATTAGTTTCAGAACTGATCTATTGAATGCAGATGTCCATTTTACTTATAAAATGACATGAGTTATTGTAAATTTATCTCTCTCATTCTAAGGAGTTTCTTCTTTAACCAGAGGAAAATTAATTCATATTGAGTTATTTTAAAATATCTTTTTTCAAATATGCACATGTTACTGGCAACCTATTCCAGTCCTAAAACAACCACTAATCTAGAAGTCCTGTCCTGGGCTATTAGGTCTGTGCTTGGGCTTCCAGGTTGCCACAGGCAAGATAAACCTGAGCTCTCCTCACATGTCATCCATCGTCATCCATGACAAACTGTGGACTAAACACAGTAATAATATTTTGATCATGTCAAAAATATAACATGATACAGAGTGACTATGTAACTGTGAAGTACTATTGAAATGCTAAGTTATAATTGGGCCAGGGTAGAAGCAAATAAGAATGTTTGAGGAAATGGCAAATGTGGCCTTTGAAAAGGCTTTGGCCATCCTTTGTCTTTGTAAAAACTTTGGGTAAAGTCACCTTTGCCTTTGAAAAAGCTCTATTTGTATGCGTATCACAGTGGATCATAAAGCTAATCAGATAGAGAGGTCATATAAATAGTCTTTGAAATTTACATTTAAAGTTTGAGTTGAAGTTTCACCTTGTGCAGATGACATACCAATACCTTTTCATAGATTAAGTAAAA